GTGTATTTCTCTTTTCTTTTATTTCCTTTGATTTCATTATTTCATTCATGACGTGTGTTTCTCTTTTTCTTTTGATTCCTTCCCATTTCATTATTTCATTCATGACGTGTATTTCTTTTCTTTGATTCCTTCCTTGATTTCATTATTTAATTCATGACGTGTGTTTCTCTCTTTCTTTGATTCCTTCCACATTTCATTATTTCATTCATGACATTGTGTTTCTCTCTTTCTTTGATTCTTCCTTCATTTCATTATTTCATTCACCCGACGTGTATTTCTCTTTTCTTTGATTCCTTCCTCCCATTCATTATTTCATTCGCGACGTGTGTTTCTCTCTTTCTTTGATTCCTTTATTATTTCATTATTTCATTCATGACGTATGTTTCTCTCTTTCTTTTATTCCTTCCTTGATTTCATTATTTCATTCGCAACGTGTGTTTCTCTCTTTCTTGATTCTTCATTTCATTATTTCATTCATGACATGTATTTGTCTCTTTCTTTGATTCCTTCCACGATTTCATTATTTCTTTTCATGACGTGTTTTCTCTCTTTCTTTGATTCCTTCCCACATTCATTATTTCATTCATGACATGTTTTACCTCTCTTTTCTTTGATTCTTCCCTTGCATTTCATTATTTCATTTCATGTGTGTTTTCTCTTTCTTGATTCCTTCCTTCATTTTCATTATTTCATTCATGACGTGTGTTTTCTCTCTTTCTTTGATTCCTTCCTTCTCTTTTTGATTCCTTCATTATTTCATTCATGACATGTGTTTCTCTCTTTCTTTGATTCCTTCCTTGATTTCATTATTTCATTCATGACGTGTATTTCTCTCTTTCTTTGATTCCTTCCTTGATTTCATTATTTCATTCATGACGTGTGTTTCTCTCTTTTCTTTGATTCCTTCCACATTTCATTATTTTATTTCATGACATTGTGACATTTCCTTCTCTCTTTCTTTGATTCCTTTTGAATTTCCTTCATGACGTGTGTTTCTCTCTTTCTTGATTCCTTATTTCCTTATTTCATGACGTGTGTTTTTCTCTTTCTTTGATTCCAGTAATGTTTTCCACGATTTCATTATTTCATTCATGACGTGTGTTTCTCTCTTTCTTTAATTCCTTCTTTAATTTCACTATTTCATTCGCGATTTCATGTGTGTTTTCTCTCTTTCTTTGATTCCTTCACATTCCATTATTTCATTCATGACGTGTGTTTTCTCTTTCTTTGATTCCTTCCTTTGATTTCATTATTTCATTCATGACGTGTGTTTTCTCTCTTTCTTTGATTCCTTCCACGATTTCATTATTTCATTCATGACGTGTGTTTTTCTCTTACTTTGATTCCTTCCTTGATTTCATTATTTCATTCATGACATCCTTGTTTCTCTCTTTTTTGATTTCTTCCACATTCCCTTATTTCATTCATGACGTGTGTTTCTCTCTTTCTTTAATTCCTTCCCTTTCATTATTTCATTCATGACATATTTTTCATTCTTTTATTCCTTCACATTTATTTCATTCTTTTTCCCATTTCTCTCCACATTCATTCATTATTTCATTCATGACGTGTGTGTTTCTCTCTTTAATTCCTTCCTTGAATTTCATTATTTCATTCATGACGTGTGTTGTGTTTCTTCTCTTCCTTCTTTGATTCCATTATTTCATTTGACTGTTTTTTCTCTTTCTTTGAATTCCTTCGTGTGTTTCATTCTCATTCGCGTGTATTTTCTCTCTTTCATTCCTTCCTTCATTTATTTTTCATTCTTGACATGTTTCTCTCTTTCTTTGATTCCTTCCACGATTTCATTATTTCATTCATGACATTAATTTTTCTCTCTTTCTTTGATTCCTTCCTTGATTTCATTATTTCATTCATGATATGTGTTTCTCTCTTTCTTTGATTCTTTCCACATTTCATTATTTCATTCATGACGTATGTTTCTCTCTTTCTTTTGTTCCTTCCTTTTCATTATTTCATGACGTGTGTTTCTCTCTTTTCTTTTTCCTTCAATTCCATTATTTCATTATTCTTCGTATGTTTTCTCTCTTTCTTTATTTTCATTCATTCCATTATTTCATTCTTTATGTTTTTCTCTTCCTTTCATTCCTTCTTCATTTCATTATTTCATTCATGACATTGTTTCTCTCTTTTCTTTTATTCCTTCCATTTCATTATTTCATTCATGACATGTGTTTTTCTCTCTTTCTTTGAAATTCCTTCCTTCATTTCATTATTTCATTTCATGACGTGTGTTTCTCTCTTTCTTTGATTCTTCCTTCATTTCATTATTTCATTCATGACATTGTATTTTCTCTCTTTTCTTTGATTCCTTCCTTGATTTCATTATTTCATTCATGACGTGTGTTTCTCTCTTTCTTTGATTCCTTCACGATTTCATTATTTCATTCATGACGTGTGTTTCTCTCTTTCTTTGATTCCTTCCTTGATTTTCATTATTTCATTCATGACGTGTGTTTTCTCTTTCTTTGATTCTTCCTTGATTTCTTTTTCATTCATGACATGTTTCTCTCTTTCTTTGATTCCTTCTCAATTTCCTTCTTTCATTCATAACATGTGTTTCTTTCTTTTTCCTTCGCCAATTCCTTCTTCATTTCATGTTTCTCTTTTTCATTCCTTCCTATTTCTTCTTCTTTCATGTATTTGTCTCTTTCTTTAATTCCTTCATTTCATTATTTATTCATGACATGTATTTCTCTCTTTCTTTGATTCCTTCCACATTTCATTATTTATTCGCAACGTGTATTTCTCTACTCTTTTTCTTTCTTCCTTCCTTATTTCCTTCTTCATTCATTTCTCAGCTTTGTGTTTCCTTGAATTTTTCTTTCATTCCTTCCACATTCCTTATTTCATTATTCATTCATGACGTGTGTTCTCTCTCTTTCTTTGTTTCCTTCCTTGATTTCATTATTTCATTCATGACGTGTGTTTCTCTCTTTCTTTTGATTCCTTCCACATTTCATTATTTCATTCATGACGTGTGTTTTCTCTTTCTCTTTCTTCCATTATTTTCCTTCCTTTCTTTGATTTCATTATTTCATTCATTGACATGTGTTTCTCTCTTTCTTTAATTCCTTCCTTGATTTCATTATTTATTTTCGCAACGTGTCTTTCTTTCTCTCTTTCTTTCATTCCTTCCACGATTTCATTATTATTTCATTCATGACGTGTGTTTCTCTCTTTCTTTGATTCCTTCACAATTTCATTATTTCATTCATGACGTGTGTTTCTCTCTTTCTTTTATTTCGCTTCATGACATTTCATTATTTCTGATTCCATTATTTCATTCACGTGTATTTCTCTCTTTCTTTGATTCCTTTCACATTCCATTATTTCATTCATGACGTGTATTTTCTCTTTTTCTTTGATTCCTTCCACGATTTCATTATTTCATTCATGACGTGTGTTTCTCTCTTTCTTTCATTATTTCATCGGCGTGTGTGTTTTCCTTTCTTTGATTTCCTTCCTTGATTTCATTATTTTCATTCATGACATTGTGTTTCTCTCTTTTTTCTTCCTTGATTCCATTATTTCATTCATGACGTGTTTTCTCTTTTCGATTCCTTCTAATGATTTCATTTATTTCATTCATGACGTGTGTTTCTCTCTTTTCTTTGATTCCTTCCTTGATTTCATTATTTCATTCATGACGTGTATTTGTCTTTTTCTTTGATTCCTTCCTTGATTTCATTATTTCATTCATGACATTTCTCTCTTTCTTTTCGATTCCTTCTTGATTTCATTATTTCATTCATGACGTGTTTTTCTCTTTTCTTGATTCCTTCCACGATTTCATTATTTCATTCATGACGTGTGTTTTCTCTCTTTGATTTTCATTTCATTATTTCATTCATGACGTGTTTTTCTCTTTCTTCCATTTCCTTGATTTTGGTATTTCATCTATGACGTGTGTTTTCTCTTTCTTTGATTCCTTCCTTCATTTCATTATTTCATCTATGACGTTTCTCTTTTCTTTGATTCCTTCCTTGATTTTTATTTCATTTCGCAACGTGTGTTTGTCTCTTTCTTTGATTCCTTCCTTCATTTCATTATTTCATTCATGACGTGTTTTTTCTTCTTTGATTCCTTCCTTGATTTCATTATTTCATTCATGACGTGTGTTTCTCTTTTTTTGATTCCTTCCTTGATTTCATTATTTTCATTCATGACGTGTGTTTCTCTCTTTCTTTGATTCCTTCAATGATTCCTTTCATTCATGACGTGTGTTTTTCCTTCCCCGTTTTTATTTTCATTTTGTATTTCCTCTCTTTCTTTGATTTTCCACGATTTCATTATTTCATTCCTTGTTTCTCTCTTTTCTTTGATTCCTTCCACGATTTCATTATTTCATTCATGACGTGTGTTTCTCTCTTTCTTTGATTCCTTCCACGATTCCATTATTTCATTCATGACGTGTGTTTCTCTTTTTCTTTGATTCCTTCCTTCATTTCATTATTTCATTCTGTGTTTCTCTTTTTCCTTCATTTCATTATTTCATTCTTGACGTTGTTTCTCTCTTTCTTTGATTTTCCTTTCATTCATTATTTCATTCGCGGCGTGTGTTTTCTCTCTTTCTTTGATTCCTTCCTTCATTTCATTATTTCGTTCTGACGTGTTTTTCTTTTTTTTGATTTCCTTCCTCTTTTCATTATTTCATTCATGACGTGTTTCTCTCTTTCTTTGATTCCTTCCTTGATTTCATTATTTCATTCATGACGTGTGTTTCTCTCTTTCTTTGATTCCTTCTTGATTTCATTATTTCATTCATGACATGTTTCTCTCTTTCTTGATTCCTTCTTGATTCCATTATTTCATTCATGACGTGTGTTCTCTCATTCTTTGATTCCTTCCACGATTTCATTATTTCATTATGACGTGTTTCTCTTTTTTTTAATATACATTTTTCTCCTTGATTTATTATTTCTTTTCCATGACGTGTGTTTCTTTCTTTCTTTGATCCTTCCACGATTCATTATTTCATGAAAGAGAGAGTTTCTCTTTTCTTGGTTCCTAGCCTTCAACATTTTTCATTGGCGACGTGTATTTCTCTTTTGCGATTCCTTCCACGATTCCATTATTTCAAAGAAAGTGGGTTTTTCTCTCTTTCTTTGATTCCTTCCAAAATTTCATCTATGACGTGTGTTTTCTCTCTTTCTTTGATTCCTTTAAATATTCATTATTTCATCAATGACGTGTGTTTCTCTTTCTTGATTCCTTCCTTATTCCATTATTGCATTCATGGTGTGTTTTTCAAACTCATTCGCCTGATTCCTATAACCATTTTCATTATTTCATTCATGACGTGTGTTTCTCTCTTTCTTTGATTCCTTTTAGATTTTCATTATTTCATTCATGTTATGTGTTTCTCTCTTTCTTTGATTCCAATAAGCAGATATTTGTATTTCTCTCTTTTTGATTCCTTCCTTGATTCCATTATTTCATTCAGACGTGTGTTTCTCTCTTTCTTAGATTATGTAGAAAAAATTATTTCAGCTAGTTTCTCTCTTGATTCCTTCCTTCATCATGACGTAATTCCTTATAAAATTCATATTTTTCTCTTTTCGATTCTTCCTTGATTTCATTATTTCATTCATGACGTGTTTCTCTCTCTCTTTGATTCCTTTTTTTCAAATTTAATTCATAACGCATTTTCTCTTTCTTTGATTCTTTTACATTTCATTATTTCATTCATGACGTGTATTTCTCTCTTTCTTTGATTTACTATTCTGTTATTTCATATTTCTAGAGAAAATTCCTATTCGATTCATTAACATTCATTACGTGTGTTTCTCTCTTTCTTTGATTCCTTCCTTGATTTCATTATTTCATTCATGATGTGTGTTTCTCTCTTTCTTTGATTCCTTGAAGATTCCATTATTTCATTCATGACGTGTGATTTCTCTCTTTCTTTATTTCCTTGACTTTTATTATTTACATTCATGCTATTTTTCTCGATTTCTTTAATTCTCCTTTAATTCCATTATTTCATCCAAGACATGTCTTTTCATACATCCCAATTTAATTCTTCATTCATTTCATGTTTCTCTTCTTGATTATATTTCTATTTCATTATTTAATTCCGTGTTTCTCTCTTTTTTGATTTCATTGATTCCATTATTTCTCAAGGAGGTTTCTCTTTGATTTTCCTTCATTTCATTATTTCATTCATGACGTGTTTCTTTCTCTCTTTCTTCCTTGATTTCATTATTTCATTCATGATAAAGTGTTTCTCTCTTTCTTTGATTCCTATATATTTCATTATTTCATTCATGATATGTGTTTCTCTCTTTCTTTGATTCCTTCTTGATTTCATTATTTATTTCATGACGTGTGTTCTCTCTTTCTTTGAAATTCCTTCCTTTGATTTCATTCTTTCATTCATGACGTGTGTTTCTCTCTTTCTTTAATTCCTTCTTTGTTCTCTCATTATTTTATTCATGACTGTTTTTCTCTTTCCTTTTCTCTATTATTTCTAAATTCGAAATTCTAACATTTTCTATTTCCCCCCAAGGATGTGTTGTCTTTCTTTGATTTTTCCACGATTCATTATTTCATTCATGACGTCTAGTTTCTCTCTTTCTTTTTCCTTCTCTTAATTATTTCATTCATCTTTACTCTCTCTTTCTTTGATTCTGATTTCATTATTTCATTTCGTGTGTTTCTCTTTTTTTAATTCCTTCTGATTCATTATTTCTCTTTATTTTGTCTGTTTTCTCTCTTTCTTTCTTTCTGTTTCTTCCATTATTTCATTCATTGAAATGTGTTTCTCTCTTTCTTTAATTCCTTGATTTCTTTTTGTTTATGTTCTCTCTTTTTGATTCCTTCCTGATTTTCATTATTTCTCTGACGTATGTTTCTCTCTTTCTTTGATTCCTTCCTGATTCCATTATTTCATCTCTCTGTGTTTTCTCTCTCTTTCTTTCCTTGATTCTTACTTTTTCATTCATGACGTTTTCTCTTTCTTTGATTCCTTAATTATTTCATTATTTCATTAATGACGTGTGTTTCTCTCTTTCTTTGATTCCTTCCACGATTTTATTATTTCATTCATGACGTGTGTTTCTCTCTTTCTTTGATTCCTTCCCGATTCCATTATTTCATTCATGACGTGTTTTCTCTCTTTCTTTATTCTTTGATTTCATTATTTCATTCATGACGTGTTTTCTCTCTTTCTTTGATTCCTTCCACGATTCCATTATTTCATTCATGACGTGTTTCTCTCTTTCTTTGATTCCTTCCTTGATTTCATTATTTCATTCATGATGTGTTTTCTTCTTTCTTTGATTCCTTCCTCGATTTTTATTTCATTCATGACGGTGTTTCTCTCTTTCTTTGATTCCTAACGATTTTTCATTATTTCATTCATGACGTGTGTTCTCTCTTTCTTTTAATTCTTCCTTCATTTCATTATTTCATTCATGATGTTTTTCTTTTTCTTGATTCCTTCCAAAATTTCATTATTTTCATTCATGACATGTGTTTCTCTCTTTTTTGATTCCTTGTTTGATTTCATTATTTCATTCATGACGTGTGTTTTCTCTCTTTCTTTGTTTCCTTCCTTTGATTTTCGATTCATTATTTAATGACGTGTGTTTCTCTCTTATTTGATTAATGATTCCATTATTTCATTCATGACGCTTTTCTCTTTCTTTGATTCCTTCCTCGATTTCATTATTTCATTCATGACGTGGTTTTCTCTCTTTCTTTGATTCCTTCCTTGATTTCATTATTTCATTCATGACGTGTGTTTCTCTTTCTTTTTCTTCCACGATTCCATTATTTCATTCAACAATGTGTTTTTATTTTGATTCCGTACGATTTATTATTTGTTTAATGACGTTTCTCTCTTTCTTGATTCCTTCCCCGATTTCATTATTTCATTCATGACGTGTGTTACAACTTTGATTCCTTCCATCGATTTCATTATTTCATGTCTTCTTTGTGTTTCTTTTTGATTCTTCCTTTTGATTTCATTATTTCATTCATGACGTGTGTTTCTCTCTTTCTTTGATTCCTTCCTTGATTTTCCATTATTTCATTCATGACATGTGTTTTCTCTCTTTCTTTGATTCCTTCCACGATTTCATTATTTCATTCATGACGTGTATTTCTCTCTTTCTTTGATTCCTTCCAAGATTCGATTATTTCATTCATGACGTGTTTTCTCTCTTTCTTTGATTCCTTCCACGATTTCATTATTTCATTCATGACGTGTGTTTTCTCTTTCTTTGATTCCTTCCTTGATTTTATTTCATTCCTTACGTCATTCTCTTTTTCTTTGATTACCTTCTCTTTCAATTATTTCATTCCACGTATGTTTCTCCGGACAAAACAATTTCATTATTTCATCAACGTGTTTCTCTCTTTTGATTCCTTCCCAATTTTATTATTTTCATTCATGACTTGTGTTCTCTCTTTCTTTGATTCCTTCCACATTTGTCTTATTTCATTCATGCGGTGTTTTTCTCTTTCTTTGATTCTTATTTCTTCTCCATTTTCATTCATGACATGTATTTCTCTCTTTTCTTTGATTCCTTCCACGATTTCATTATTTTTTTTATATGACATGTGTTTCTCTCTTTCTTTTGATTCCTTCTTTTGATTCCATTATTTCATTCATGACGTGTGTTTCTCTCTTTCTTTGATTCCTTCTTCATTTCATTATTTCATTCATGACGTGTTTCTCTCTTTCTTTGATTCCTTCCACGATTCCATTATTTCATTCATGACGTTTTTTCTCTTTTTCTTTGATTCCTTCCACGATTTCTTTATTTCATTCATGACGTGTCATTTTCTCTTTGCTTCTCTCTTCCACCGATTTCATTATTTCATTCATGACATTTTCTTTTTATTTATTGATTTGTGATTTCATTTCATTTCGTGTTTCTCTCTTTCTTTGATTCCTTCCACGATTTTCATTATTTGTTTCATGACGTGTGTTTCTCTTTTCTTTGATTCCTTCCTTTGATTTCATTATTTCATTCATGACGTGTGTTTCTCTCTTACTTGGATTCCTTCCACGATTTCATTATTTCATTCATGACGTGTGTTTCTCTCTTTCTTTGATTCCTTCCTTCATTTCATTATTTCATTCATGACGTGTGTTTCTCTTTTTCTTTGATTCCTTCCTCGATTCCATTATTTCATTCATGACGTGTGTTTCTCTTTTTCTTTTGATTCCTTCCACGATTTCATTATTTCATTCATGACGTGTGTTTCTCTCTTTTTGATTCCTTCGATTCTTTCATTTGACGTGTGTTTTCTCTTTCTTTGATTCCTTCCTTCATTTCATTATTTCATTCATGACGTGTGTTTCTCTTTTTCTTTGATTCCTTCCTCGATTCCATTATTTCATTCATGACGTGTGTTTCTCTCTTTCTTTGATTCCTTCCACGATTTCATTATTTCATTCATGACGTGTGTTTCTCTCTTTCTTTGATTCCTTCCCGATTTCATTATTTCATTCATGACGTGTGTTTCTCTCTTTCATTATTTTTCATGATTCCATTATTTCCTCGATGTTCCACTTTTCTTTTCTTTCCTTCCTTGATTCAATTATTTCATTGTTTTCTCTTTCTTTTGATTCCTTCCACGATTTCATTATTTCATTCTAACAGCACGTATTTCTCTTTTCTTTGATTCCTTCCTTCATTTTTCATTATTTCATTCATTGTGTTTCTCTCTTTCTTTGATTCCTTCCACGATTTCATTATTTCATTCATGACGAAATTTTCTCTTTCTTTTGATTCCTTCATGATTTCATTTATTTCATGACGTTTCTCTTTTTCTTTTTCTTCATTCCATTATTTCATTCATGATTGTGTTTCCTTTGATTCCTTGATTTCATTTTTCATTTCATGACATGGATTCTCTTTCTTTGATTCCTTCCACGATTTCATTTTTCATTCATGACGTGTGTTTCTTTCTCTTTCTTTGATTCCTTCCCGATTTCTCTTTCATTCATGACATTATTTCATGATTTATTTCTCTTTTCTTTGATTCTTCATTCATTTTATTATTTCATTCATGACGTGTATTTCTCTTTTCTTTGATTCCTTCCACGATTTCATTATTTCATTCATGACGTGTGTTTTTCTCTCTTCCTTTTGATTTCATTATTTCATTATGTTTTCTCTCTCTTTCTTTGATTCCTTCCTTGATTTTTATTTCATTCATGACGTGTGTTTCTCTCTCTTTCTTTGATTCCTTCCACGATTCCATTATTTCATTCATGACGTGTGTTTCTCTTTTTTCTTTGATTCTTCCACGATTCCATTATTTCATTCATGACGTGTGTTTCTCTCTTTCTTTGATTCCTTCCTTATTTCATTATTTCATTCATGACGTGTTTTTCTCTCATTTTGATTCCTTCCAAAATTTCATTATTTCATTCTTGACGTGTGTTTTTCTCTCTTTCTTTGATTCTTCCTTGATTTCATTATTTCATTCATGACGTGTGTTTCTCTCTTTCTTTCCTTCCTTCCCGATTCTTGATTATTTCATTCATGACGTGTGTTTCTCTTTTCTTTGAGGATGATTTCATTATTTCATTCATGACGTGTGTTTCTCTCTTTTG